TTCTCACAGAATGTAACCGATGCCTCTACTGCGTGATACTGTGGCAAACAGCAGGTTCTGGCAGGCATGGATTGATTTGATATGGCTAGTAGTCGGAAGAAGTAAGACTGCTGGATATGCGGTATGGTAACTAAACACATTTAGCTATTCAGGATGGACAATACTATAATGCAACATACGATAATTCACTACTAATCGATCGCTTGATCAATAATAACAAGAAGATTTTTACCACACATTTAGTTTTGTTCTTTTTGGTTCTTATTTGACTTCAGTTAGTCGGTATAAAAATGACCCATTTGATCAGAATGATAGGCTTCAACCAACAGCATATAGGCACGTCTTTTTAGCGCACGTATTTGCTTCATTTTCACAAGCCCAGTGCTTATGATTGTCTGTGTAAACGTTGCACTTGATTAATTTCAGAATTTTCTCTTAACTAGTTGGAGGGAGCATGTGGTTTGCCTGTTTCACACTCCGTCAGGGGGAAACATCGGCACCTTCTGCCGGCCCTCTCCTAAATACTAGAGGGATTACTACTAGGAATTATATGTCAGTTTCGAAAGTTCGCAGTACGCCTGTTGCTCAAAATCACCTGTTTCATTGCTGACCTCCCCCTCCTCGTTAGTTCCACTTTCTTAATTTTCTGCAGCTGGCTACTTTTGAGGAGTGTAGGTCTAAAAAATTCTTAGCGTGTATATCCGACAATGACATTATTGTCAATTTTTCGCTCAAAGTCAGAGATATCAGCTGTTGGGCTGTGTGCCATGACTCGTGTGAACTCACGTCAAGCGAGGGTTTTTAATTTTAGCGTTATACGTGAAAAAAATCTGCGAAAGCGTGTGCAAAACAAGCTGCTCCTCTCATTGCATATGTTCTCAATCACGGCTAAAAGGATGCAAAGATGGCAACTTATACTCAGTGGGTAAGATGTACTCCATTGTCTTACTGAGGATGACTTTGAGTAGTTCAAGACAGTGTGGCTGTTTTATAGACTGCATCTCACGTTCACCAATTCTGACCGTCAAGTTCAACAACAGCTAACTGCTGATTGGTTAGCTGTCGATGAGCTTGCAGCTAAATCCTTCGGCTGCGAAGAAATTTACCGATAACGATGGGTCAGGCTGCAGTTACGCAAACAGTAATACCCAGATTGCAGTACCCACAAACAAGGGTCAGCTGGTTTGGACAGAATTCAAGCAATGGTACGTTGTTCTTCACCCATGACGTTCACTCACATACTCTGTGATTGAACGCTTAGGTACCGTAGTGCACCACTCATAAAGTGTTGACGTGATGACAAAACTCAGCTCTCATTGTAGGCATCGCTGAAGGATACAGTTAGAAAGGTAAATGACTTTGTAGCGAACAGTGCATACACTGCAAGTAGGACGGGACCACGTGAAATCTACATAAGACTATTCTGACGAGAAAAAATGAGTCAGTGGACTTTTCAAAGCCAGATTTATCAGGTGCATATCTCCAGTAATTGTTGACAGAAACCAGTCGAGAGCTGTCGGCAAATAATGCAAATCAGTGATTTCCCGCACACAACAGACAGCGATTCGGTTTCAAATATTCACCAGCCACTATCCAGGAAACAATGGATGTGTCATGCTTATAGGATGCCCTCACACACGCATACATGGATGACACGGTTTTTATCGGTCCCTCGCCAAAGAGGCTGTACTGTAGGGTTAAAGAAATGAACGAGCCGCCATAGTTCACGTCAATGAATGCAACCATTCGTTTCCATTATATATAAGCTCCGTGTGAGGGCAAGAGTAGATAGATAGATAGATAGATAGATAGATAGATAGATAGATAGATAGATAGATAGATAGATAGATAGATAGATAGATAGATAGATAGATAGATAGATAGATAGATAGATAGATAGATAGATAGATAGATAGATAGATAGATAGATAGATAGATAGATAGATAGATAGATAGATAGATAGATAGATAGATAGATAGATAGATAGATAGATAGATAGATAGATAGATAGATAGATAGATAGGATTGATTGATGACTGACTGACTGACTGACTTATAAACCATGTTCTATTTGAGTGTACACCGCAGAGTCGCCAAGGATAAATAAATGAATAAAAGCAGTTGGATGCAGATTGGGGAGCTTATTCAGTATATCCGATGAAATTTGAATGCTATATAGTCGCTAACAACATTTCGCAGAAGCAAGCTGGGAATACAGACACAAAGGAAACGGGCAAATACCTAAATTTATCCCTAGAGCATCAGGAAAACGCTTCGTGGACAAAAATAAGAAATTTGCCAGAGAACAACGAATTGCTAGGCCGAAATTTTCTGTACCTGAATGTTGGAATCTTAAATGTCAAGATAGATGTACAGGATATTTTTCCAGACTTTTAACTAAACCAGATGCACGAAAACTTGGAATTTGTAGTGCCACCATCGATCAAAACTAGGTAATCGTAATTATCTTGGTTTTGAAACATTTGTCGAATCACCGACCCAATATCGGGCTCGAGGCCGTCGTAATAGGCCATGCTGTTGCCTTCTACTTGTTCTGCGGTACTGTTTGGGTTTATAGTTTTTCTGGACCCCACAGACTCAGAACACCCAGATTTGGCATGAGATATCGAACTTTTCCACCTTTGACCAATACAATACTCCGAACTGCGAAGCCTAACCGAAGTTTCACACACTCATGTAATGGTCAGTTCACGAGAGCACACTGTAGTACCTATTTTTACTAGACTCGTATATTTGCATTCTGAAAGTGATAGAGGTGGTACGACAAACTGTTCATTGAACCGGTTGTAATTATTCAAAGTAGAACATTCATCGACCGCCAGAAATGCCCCTGGACTTGGAGCAGTCAGTAGTTTTGAAACGTGAATAAACACTAGGAATTAGTGTTGACAACGCTATACTATGCTATCGATTGCGTGGTTCTGGCGAACCCGTGAGCAAGTTTTTTGAGACATTACAGGTTGTTCACTGGTCTCCTTTCTAAGACTTCACTTATCGTTAACCACAAAGTGCATTGTAAGAGAGTAGGTGTCACTTCCAGAGGTTTAGACAGAAAGTTATCCGCGCTTATGCACCGGTTTACTTCATGAGTTTCTGAAGGGCTACTCAAGGGGTCAGTGTCGGTTTGCGTCATAACTGTGGCAGAGCGAGAACACTGTAATTACTCAACTTACATGTGATGTGCTGTTGAAGAGAACATTGGTAGCGCGGGTAGCGTGAATGGTCGCTGCTTGGTTTGGTAAGGTGAGAAACTTGACAGCAGTCAAAATACCCTCGACGAACCTCAGTACCGATATTTCCATGGGTTGTTTGTTGGTAAACATCGTAAACTCGCGTTTCACGATTTTCCTAAACTAAATGTGCCGCGCGGTGATTGCCTCATGTTTTGTTTGGCACGCTTTCGGAGTATTCAGGACAGCATCCATTCGAGACGCCTGAAGAAGGGCAAAGTCGGTCGTGGACTTGTGAGTAGTCTTCGAAAAATACACTCATTTGGAAATCAATTTGGTTTACACGGGAGACTCAACTGAATCTCTCTGAATGTGCCGCACACAGGCCGCCTCATGTTTAAGTTAGAACGATATTCGAGATATCCCAGTATAGTTTCATAAAGGAAACTACCCACAAGGTTGTTGAAAACTCTTCGACAGCCCACAGTCAGTTTAGCCCTTCTTGGGACTCATCAGGCAGACACAGTCTCCGAGGTTCCATCAACCTTATGTTCTAATTGAACCCAAATTGTAGTCTGCCCTGTCAAGAATATACTTGAAGTTTTCCTCAGGAAAATATACTGCTATATCTCCAATATTGTACCGACCAAAATATGGGGTAAACTTTTTGCAGAATATTCAGTTTAGGAATACCAAAAATGAGATATTTGAATGGAATTCATTTGATCTTTTTGTTTCTTGGTAACACCAAAATCAATTGTAAATGAGCCAACTCATCCAAACAATTGATCGTGCTCTGTAAATCATTCAGTTGGCTATTCACTACGTACTCACTATCTCCCCAGATCTCAGAAGTTATCGAAGTTGGAAGAACTGGGCCAAGGATTAAGGGTTAGGCTTTTATTTGTATTTCATCCAAGTACACAGATAAAATGAAGAGGGGGTAGAGTCATTGCTGTGTGCCACATGTCAAAAATCGACCAGCGCATTGTGTCGTGATACCTCTCACCTTTCGTAAACGTATTCTGTTCTAATTTGCAGGATTATCTCTTTGAGGAGACCGCAATGCGGAGGCATTCCGTACTTCAAAACCACCCTAGAGAACAGTGTGTTTTCCGTTTCGAAGCATACAGCCCCCCTCAACCAAAAACCGCTTTTATGGCACGACGCACGTTTTGTCAGACGTTTTAGCAACAAGCTATCCAATGCGGTTGAGAATGAATACTGGACGTACAAAAAATTGTGGTTAAGCTGTCTTCAGAAGCCGAGGCCGCGATGCACGGGTAAGCCAACGGCCAGCGTGATGGTCAAGGTCACCGGTCGTTTCCATTCTGTCACGGATCGATGGCGGTGCAACACACGGAAGTTATGACTACCCTGACCGGCTGGTCCAGACGAAATTTGGACGGTCCAGCTGTACCACACTTTTGGCGACAATCAGTTTTCTGTAACTGCTCTGGTGTAAATGTAAAAAGTAATGTAAACTCTAGTGAGTTCTTATTTGAAGTCATGCAATGTCGTGACGTGTTCGTCCAGCCTTATTTTTCTGCTGGTAAAGCAGGCGGTGGTTTGCACCAACAGCGCCAAAGCAAAACGTCCTGTCTAACCGGACGCACCATGTGTGTCAATTTTAGCTCACCGATCACGCTCGGTTAGTTGAGTAGAAATTAGTGACCTTGGAGCGCAAATGGCCAATCAGATCCGTTACACTGGTGCGAGCGTCTGTGCACACTCGCAGATCATACGAACACCTATAAAACTCAGTAACTAACGAACACCGTCGCAAATTTGACGTCAACTGCGAATAGGTTCATTCTTTTTGCTTTGACAATGGGCTCTATCACTCGTGAAGATGGAAATCCTACAACAAGCCAAGATGTCATCACTTTCGGGGCTGGGCCGTCCAAAGTGCCTCGTGTCGTAAGTTTTTTGTATTGCAATGACTCCGTCTATGTAAAACCTTCTAAAACAGTAGTTATAAGATTAGGAATAGCATCGTGAAACATTCGGAGAGGGATGTGGTGCATATTTATTTCCCTGGTTAATTTCTAGGATTTTGATTCTGTTAAGGTCTATGTATTATCATCAAGATAAGACTAGCCGTTCGCTCTACTGTCTGAATACTTCTTGTACCTAATCATAGCCAGGTAGCCGCTGCAAGATCTGAGTTTGCACACCATTCAGTGCAATGCGTGAATAGTTGCTTGAAAATCTCGTTCTACCAGGACCACACAATGCTTTTGAACGATTCACAGGCTTGTATTACGTCTGAAAATTTATTGATCGAAGTAAACTGCAACTGTGGTGTTCGACCAACTGGCTGTGCCGACTATACCTGCCTTGACCAACGAGAAGGACGTTCAAAACATAAGATATATGATGTGTTTGGAGTGGAACTGTCTTGGAATACAATACAGAACACTGTGAAAGTGTCTATCAACCCACTAGTTCATTTAAATTCAGTGATCGATCTGAGTTATCAAAGGCACGGTGTTGGGTGACGGCTGTCATCCTAAATAAGTCAGATGAGTGAGGGAGAGAGCTGGTTTCTGAATAGATGTTCACAATTCCATCAAGTTTAACCACTGTTACATGAAAATAATGTGTGGTAAGCAGACGAACGTCTTCGTTTTTCCATCAGGCTGAGCAGTCATACACCAGGCTCGTTTATTCTCTTGAGATGTTCAGACACTTTCAGTGAGTTTTGATATCAGGTTGGAAAAGAACAGTTGAAACAGTCGCCAAAGGACGAACGTCTTCTTTTTCCATCAGGCTGAGCAGTCATACACCAGGCTCGTTTATTCTCTTGAGATGTTCAGACACTTTCAGTGAGTTTTGATATCAGGTTGGAAAAGAACAGTTGAAACAGTCGCCAAAGGACTGGGCAAAGTGTGTGATAAAGACAACTTCTTACAGGTGATACGATGGATCACGCTCTGTTAACGTCAAAATAACTAGACATGATCAGGATTATTCAACAAACGAAACAGTGTGGGTTTCTAAGTGAAAGCCACCTTTCCTGTTCAGACTTTTAGCTCACGTTTAAAGAATTACTTTGGTCTGAAAAAAGTAGTAACCTGTCCCCAAACTTGAAAAACTGGGGGATTTAAGCAACGAGTTTCACTCAAGCACAAATAATAGGTAATTATGGTGTTCAGGTTGCGTTGTTTATGTCCATTATGTTAGATATGAAAGATTGCTGGAGATTAGAAACTTGAATCAAGTCTGTTCCATGTTATTCAACACCATTCAAATGTGTGTTTTCCCTAGGTTGGCTTCCCAACTGTCGCAGGGTGAAAAGTTTATTGTTGGTTTTTGTAATGCACTACTCGTAAGGTTGCTGAAAACTCCTCGACAGCCCACAACCGGTTTCGCCTTCTTGGGGCTCATCAGGTAGGCGCAGTCCACGGGTTTCCGTCAACC